TAGATTATATATGCACAACATGCATTCGGTTATGCATATTTATTGTATCTTTATCAAAAAGACTTAGAATTTGATCAAAATATAATATATTTTAGCCATTTGAAGAAATGTTTACATTTTGCTCTCACTGCACTAAAAGTGGCCGTACATCCCCCTTAAAGTTCTGAGGTTATGCTTGTCCCTATTTCAGGATTATTTTTAATATTATCTTTGTTTAATGATGTTTTTGTTCTCTTCACCCCCGAAACATATACATGTACTAGTTAAAATATGAAGTACTTGGTTAAAATTGGCACGGCAGGTAGATAGCAATAGTCTGCAGGGAAAAAATCGAAAAAAAAGAACTTTTGAGCAGTGAACCTTATTCAGCTTTCAGATCAAAAGCAAAGGAATTTCAAACATAATTAAAAAAAAATCAATATCTTCCAAATCAGGTTAATTTATATATCAGCACAATGTATCCAAGAAATCATGAAATAAAAAGTATCACAGAACATATAATATTCTAGACCATTACCTCACTTTATACCTCTCGTAAACCTTGTTACAATTTGTTCTTTATGAATGTTTGAAAAATCAAAACAAAAAAAAAAAGATTCTTTAAAGCTTTTATATCATCAATCATTTGTTAACAAATAAAGGTAAATGAGTGGAACCCACTAATTTGCTTTTGCAAACTAGTTAATCTGATAAATATGGGTGTAGCGCGTCGGGTTACATAGATGTCCAAGTACTGTATGCATAGCAACCATAGCATCGTGTGTCATGGAGACCATTGTGGGATTGGAGTCGATGATATCGATCACATTTTTCTGAAAAAAATTAAAATGTAAAACATTAAAAACAAGATAAACTCCTTCAAGCGAATTACATTATGAGTTTCATCCACTTCTTTTAAGAAGTGCAGTGCCCCTATTTAATATTGTAATATAAAAATTTATATATTGAATTTCAAGAAGAAATAGTGGTTGTCATTTTTCGTGCCATTAAAATCGTCAATAAAGTTTTCAACTTTGAAAACACTCCCTAAGTTAAATCAAAAAAAAAAAGGTTTTTAGTCTTTATTAGTGATTATTACTTTTGATTTCATGGAGCAATTAAATTAAATTGTGGTTATTCATTAGGCCTTAATGAATAATTAATTATATTTACAAAATAAGAGGATTTTTTGTTATCAATTTCAGGCTTTAATTTGCCCGTGCTTCCTGCATCTTGCTCCTAAGGACACATATTATTTATATCTGCTGAAAAAAATTAATTTTTAGGACAAATGTTATGTGAAAGTTCAGAGAGAACATAAATGGTACCGTTTACCGGCCGTAAGTAGTTTAAGGTGAGCACTAACTGACTATCAGGATAAGATATTTGTGATTAAATTAGATTCACATATAAAATTAGGACCAGGTTATTCACGATCCACATTTTTCTAGAAAATATCAAAGAAAACAAAGCTATACTCAGAAAACAAAAATGCTCGTAAAAATAAAATAAACGTGCTGCATTTATATGGCGAATAAATGTAATGAAGGATAGAGAGCTAACGAACAGTATTCAATATCAAAGTCACAAAACAATACAAAATAGAAGCAGGGGAAACACGGACCTCCAAAACATCAGAGGTGGGATCAGGTGCCATGGAGGAGTGAACATCCCCACGAGGTACACTACTTACCGGTACCTAAATTACCCTTTTCCTATTTAGATATATCTCACAGTTGTATTTTATATGAAATAATCTTCTTTTAGGGACCCAAAATTTATACCCTTATTCTTTTTTACTTGGAATTTGATTTACGTTTTAAAACCTTATTTTGGAACAACCTTAGGATGTTTGGGGCTAGGGCTTTTTGGTAAACAAATATTTCCCTTATTGCAAAGGCCCTTTTGTTCTTTAAGTAAACTATTATTATAATTATTTTTTCTATTTTTTTTCTCTTGAACTTAATCTTGAAGTTTGAGTTGCATAAGAAACTATATTCTTTGCCGTGAGATTTAATATGTGTTTGTCTTCCGATAAAGTTGATCAGATTAAAAACAGAGATGAATGAAATTGCTCACTAAGCGGCTGTTTTAATGAATAAGTATATTTGTAATGGAATTAATGAAGATAACGAACGGCAAGGGATATACGGACCTCTAAGACATCATAGGTGGGATCGGGTGCGATGGAGCAGTGTGCATCCCCTGACGACTGCTTCCAACCGCTGTGTATTCCTGTCATGGTCGGGAACTAACGGAAAATATCCGTCGACAATTAAGTGTGTAAATAATGGCATAACAATTAGTATGATAAATGTCAGTCAGCATTTGACTTAATTCTTGATTTTATATTTACCGACAAATTCTTAAGAATCCACCAAATGATGACTTTTGAACGAGACTGCTGATATTCTTGTTTTATCAACTTGTTCGTCATTAACTTACATCGTTCATAAATAGAACATGCTCTTGCCTATCGAATCAACTTAGAGATATAAACCCCGTATGCAAGTGATACGGTTTATTGCTGCAAAGGTAAGGGAAGTTGACTTAAGGAATAAATCATTACATTTATCATACAGACAAAACGTGCAATCGTGATGTGACTTTGCTATGCGCCGAAATCAAGGTCACAGTCAAATCAAGATACTCTGACGACTTAACAGAGCAAAATTAATTTTCGTTCTCCATTGTCTGTCGTTGTTGTTGACGTAAACCTTTTGGAAATTTGTCTTCTTCTCTGAACCAATGAGCAAATTTAAACCAAACTTATTAATATTGTAAAATACATTGTTAATTTAAAGGGATGCAAATAGTTTAAATGAAGGGGATATAAAAGAGGAGATAATAACAAAATACAGTGGACCTTCAGATATCCGAATGCTTCAGTATCCGGACGATTTTTCATCGGAACAGAATTTTTTTAACCCTACTTTGTCTTGTTTAACTGGTATTTCAGATATCCGGACGCTTCACATATCTGGACAAATTGACTAGGAACCAAAGTGTCCGGATAAATGAGGCTCCACTGTAGTAAGAGTTGGATTTTGCCATTCATTTAAAAATCTTCGTCGTAAAAACCAATAAAATAAAAAAAAATGACTGGAGAACCTCTGGAACAGAAAAGAAATTAAATTAATGTGAAAGCTTCCTGACGAAGTGTAGATATTCGTTTGTTAAATCACGACTCAAGGGGCAAGTGTGGATCAAAAATTGAATATTAATTATTTTATAGGTACATGAAGGAAATCTTTTCAAAAAAGACAGCAAAACTATGAAAAATTATATTAGTATGAAAATACCTAAGGTAGTGGAATTCTAATTTATTCACATGTTGTCTTCTAGGGGTAGAGCGGAGCCACAATGAGCAAAAGAGTTTTAACAAAAGTCATTTCTAAAAATATCCTTCAATTACGGCATGTAAAGCCAAGATCAATCATACAATAAGGAAACATTATGAAATATGGCCATTTTTTGTGAATATTTGTCCAGAAATTTTTAGAATACAAAAATGAAAAAAAAGTTAATGGTGTGAATCTGTATGACTGCTTAGATAGGGGATGTCCACTATGTGATTTGAAGTTACAACACTTACATTTAAAATCAAGCGCCCTGCCGATGTCACTGGCTAACACAACAACATGCCAACAGGAGACTGGCCTCACTAGAAATCACTTTAAGTCTTCAAGATATTCTCTCTCTCATTTATTTGATACATATTACCCTTATGAAGATTAAACATCACATTTGGTTTTCTGTAATTATACGACAATTTATCAGAGTGAATGTCTATTTGTGGCTTAATCCTAAATTATCCTCCGATTTAAAAGTGGTCTGCCATTCGTGATTTAAGGTGAACATAAAAACAAGTGCTAGTTAAACTCTATGAACTCTACATAATATGTCACTTCAGCTCACTTTTACTTGATATTTCTTTCCACTATTAACTATGAAATCACTTCTCATGTGCTTTTCTGTAATTGTACGTCAGATTTATCTATTAATGGAGTCTTTATTTTGTGGTAGATCTGTTTTAGTGATATTTGTGTGTACACGTAGCTCACACCCACATATTAATATCCTCCACGAATTCATAAATCATGGTTACAAAGCCATGTTTCCTTTTACAGTTTAATAGAATACACGAACTCAAGTCCCCACAAACGTGTAAAGGTAATGAAATCCACGAAAATTTGCCCCAACGAATTTAAGTTTCATTTAGAGGAAGCCTAATAGCGAGCGCAGCGAGGCGACGCGAAGCGCCGCTCGCGTAGCGAGCTCAATAGACTTACGTGTACGAACGGAGGAAATTCGGGTTGAAATCTGCACATTGTTCCAAGAAATTTTTATCTCACCGCGTGAAAAAATTCCAAACTCCCAATAATCCTTTGCGGTGCATAACAACATGGTGGCTAAAACATAGCAACAACTAACTTGAAAAAAATTGCAAACAACGATTTGCTGCAATCTCCATGCCATAAATATACCGTTTGCGTCCTAATTCAACAGAACTTTTTATCTGACGTCATACTTTCGTCACTGTAACGGTTCGGGTATTTCCGATTTTGTCGGAAACTTCCGAGAAGTTCGGAATCTCGATCCTGATGCTTGGGAAGTGATTTTTTTTATTGCCTTCTTTTTTTTTCTTTTTCTTGAATGATAGGCAATATATGTGTAGGTTTATGATAGTAAGTAACTGCGCTCGCCCCAACGGTCACACCGTAAAACATATTATGGCCTTAATCTTAATCCTTGGAAAATAAAAATCCAGTAGAGCTCTACCATCTGAGCTAAAGGATTTACAGGATGACAAGAAGTGTGATCTTGGAATACACAACGTACTTTTACTTTAGGTACATTTTATTTGATTAATTGTATGTTGTTTAACGTCCCTTTCAAGAATTTTTCAATCAAATGGAGACGCCACCACTTGCCGGATGAGAGCTGCAAGTGTTGTCCAATACTCGGTCCTACGGCCATTGAGCAGTGAATAATAGTTATAAATATAAAAACACAAAACAATTTGTTCAAACTTTAATATAGTGAATTATTTTATACAAAAAATGGCTGGAGTCTAATTTATGATGATGCAACTAGTTGATCTGATAAATATTTGTGTAACGCTTTGAGTTACATACATGTCCAAGTGATGCATACATGGCAACCATTTCATCGTGTGTCATGGAGACCATTGTGGGATTGGAGTCGATAATATCGATTACGTTTTTCTGTAAAAAATAAAATTGGAAAACGTTTAAGCAAGATGAATTCATTCAAGCGTATAATTAAAGGGTTTCATCCACTTCTTTCAAGACAAAAAAGTTTGTTTTCTTTATGTTGCATGTTACAAACGACATAAAGTATAAGAAAGTTTTTAAAAAAATGGCATTTTTTAAACATGTTTCGAGCCCCATAGTTAACATTTGTGGTAAAGCAAACAATTGACAATGATTGTTTCCTTAAATTGAAGACCTGATGTCTTAAATGCATGATAAACATGTTTGGTATATCAACTTTTACATATGTTACTATGGTAACAAAATATTAAAAAGTATAAAATAATATTCAATGAATTTTATAAAGTCATACACATAAAAATAAAAAGCAATCATAGGATGAAATTTGACCAAATAATCGAGAAAAGAGCCTTGAAACAAATACCAAGAACAAATTATGATATGGTTGGCAATGGTTACCAGGGTTTTTATACTATAGAACCCCTTAAATTTTAGACTCTGTGTGATTAAATCTGATCCTACCTTTTAAAAAAGCATATTTCCATATAACTGATGATCAATTTTTAAAGGTGCTGGTGTGGTCCTCATTTTTTTCATTAAAAAAAAATCAAATCAGATTCTTTGAATAGAGTGTTGCTGTGGAAACATGCAGAAAGTATATGCCTAAAAATCTGAAAAATATTTTGTTTCCTTGGATACATACCCTAAAATGTTGATTCCCAACACTTTATGATTGATATTTATGAACGGCTAACATATAGCTAACTTTTAATTTTGACTATCATCCAATCTCTAATTGGATGCAAGAAGCCGGCACACAGGGTTTAAAAATTACGAAAGCGAACATTTTCCCTTCTTTGTTACCACAGCAACAGTGTTGTTTTCTTCATCAAACTTTATCAGTATATGATATTCAACTTTAGTTCTACCAGATAATGACTACTCAAGGTTAGTCATATTATATGTTCCTTTATTTTATGGCAATTAAATTCATAATAAGTTATTCCCTTTTAACAACCTCGTACATTGTTTCCTTGGTAACACCGCAAAGTAGCAATTAATCCCAATTTTTCTTAGAGTGTTGTTGTTGCAAGGTCCTAAGGATGCATATTTGCCAGTCTTGAATTTTCATGTTTTCTCTCAAGACAGTAGCATTAACTCAATCTAAATTACTAATTTTACTTTGCTACACTATGTTATCATGGCAACCTTAAAAGTTATTTATAGAATTATTTTGCTTATACCTATATACATAAGCTCAAGCATTTTCATTGTTTTTCTTAAGTTCTTGTTTGAGCATGTAACATCTACTATTAGTGAATACTGAGCGTTTAGTAGCATAATTCAGCATATTAAATGTATTTCAAATGTATCCTTGCTTACCACTTACTTAGAGATATATTCCAAACAGTTTCTTTACAGTATAAGTGGCAACAAGGTTTCATGTTTTTGTAAGAATGGTTTGTTTGCTTTCTATATAATGATCTATATGAGTTTCTGTAAGGCTCAATAAAGATTTAAAGTAGCTGAAAATCTCAGTTTTTTAAAACTTTACGACCGTTACCATGGCAACCAAGTCACATACATGTAGCAACGAAAATTTATTTGATATATGTTTCTGGAGGCAAGTACTAATAATTGGTGAAGTTTCATCGAAATCGGTGACCATGTATGGCAACAGAGTTTAAGTGGTTACAGAAAATGGCTCTTAATGCGTCCTAATCGAATGTTTACAAGAAATTGAATTTTAGTTTTATATTGTAACAAATATTTTTTTTTACGTCTTCCTTTTCTCCACTTTATAAAAAGATGTTTGTTAAACATTTTGTAATTCCAGTGAACCTATTTTCAAGTTCTATTATGAGATCTCGCTCTTTTTCGAAACAGATAGGCAAACATGAATCATCCTTGTCGGATTATTTTGTCTATTTGTAAAGAACTATAGTTTTAAAGTTTTAAAACTTAAAGTTTTAGTTGTCAATAAGTTATTCCTAGATTTGCTCAATGTTGTGACTAACTTTTTCTGATCATAATTTTGGACTATATTTAGTTGATAATTAGCATATTGATTAATTATGTTTTACCTCGATTGTATGAAGTCCATGTGATGAATGAATGTCCATCTGTTCCTGGGAACTTGTTTTATACAGGTAACATGTATGTCCAGATCTTACTGACAAAACATGCTGCAATGAAATGTTTTAAAAAGGCCATAAAAATTTGTCCTAAATAAGCAAACTTTACTTTACAAATAATTCAAACATCAGACTACCTGCAAGGACAAACTACTGATTTTGTGAAGGAAAAGTATTCACTACAAGTTCACTGGTATCTGATAATCTTGAATTAAGTCTGCCCACTTGAAGTGATGAGATCTCTTACCGTGTGGTAGTCGTAGTAGAATGAGAATTTTTCTCCCACTGACGCCTCGTGAGTGGGGCCTGTTCCGTGGGAATGTGGGTGATGGGCATGCGTGGACTGATGTGGGCGTTTCGTGGTTGTAGCAGCCATAGTCTTTTAAGAAATATTTCTGTGTTATTAAATTAATTACTGTCGCCCAGTATAAAAAGGCGTCACTCCTTTGAGTCTGTAAGAGACACAGGCTCAAGGAGTTCATTTGGTGCCCCTCGGATAATCCTCAGGGATATTAAACATATTTCATATGTACAGTCTTCAGATTCCTAGTTTTAGTATAAAACCAATACATCATATACCAAATTGAAAGAATGTAAGGTTTCTTTTACAGATATATTGGATAATTCCTTTTCCGATCCCATGTCTTTTGTTTCAAAATGTTTTGTACGAAACTGTAAAATCTGTGACATTTTGATAACTGACACTTCTTTCACCAGTAATCTTACTGGACAGAGCTTCTATACCAAAACTTGGGAAAATCTGAACTGCAAATCTTCTAATGTTGTCTATGGAATAGAATGTAATCTGTGTGGACTCGTTTATGTCGGTGAAACCAAGGGATGGCTAAACAAAAGAATATCAGGTCGATTTCAAATAAATCATGGTAGTCAGCAGCTTTTATACAAACATTTTAATTCACCTGATCATTCTATTTTAGCAATGAAAGTTAGAATTCTCGAAAAGATTTATCACCACACAAATAGTCCGTCGCTGAGTAAACCTTTCCGTAGACAACGAGAAGAAATTCGGATTATAAAACTAGGGACAGCCTTTCCCTATGGATGTAATGACAGTGTCGATAGTGTTGGAAATCTTTCAAGTCCGCAGTGTAATAATGTAAATGTGATGGAATTTTTTAACCATACTCAGAGACGTAAGCGTAGTCATGGGCATCGTTCGTACTATAAGCCTGCAATACACGACGTCTCTTTTGATTCATTACTACCTTATATATGTAAATCAACAGTTAGGTCTACATCATATTCGCACAAAACTTTACTCTGTCCCTTTAAAACTTTTAAATAGTCTTCTTGAAAAGGCCAAGGAACATCCAATTTTAGATTCCTTGTCACCTGAATATAGACTCGGATCTGTGATTATGGATATTGCATATCATAGGCTCTTTAAACCCACACGCTTCACGGAAGAAAATGCAGCTAAAACAATTCGTCTTTTCCTTAAACTTCAATATGCCAATAAAGGAATTGATGCGGTTAATATAAGAAATATTCTTAATCACAAAAAGGTCCAGTCTTGTATTCCACCATTTTTCAAGTTAAAGATTACACCTAGTATATCCTACAAATATACATCGACCATTACTTCCAAACTTTTCAATTACAAAAACACTTTACATGTCCTGGATACTGACTATCTGAAACATAATCCTCCTTCGTGTTCATGTTCTTCTTCGCCCTATAACTGTAGTTCTGCTGGTGACGTAAATATAGTTCGAAATTAGGATCTTAGATCACTTAATTTAAAAGATCCTAAATAAAGGGAACCCCGATCCTTCAACTGGCATCGGAATTTCATAAATATTATGGATTCTGTGGAAAATTACGCCAGACGATGGGCAAGATAAGAAAAAGAAGACATTGACACCTTGTCAGAATGGATCAAATGTATCAGATCCATGTTAATGTCCCGTATTCAAAGATGAGGGGCAATATGAAAACCATATATCCTTCTGTGTTCAATAAACCAGAAGTGAAAAAGGAGTTAGATAGATTACACGATCAGTACGTACTGGTTCCTGCCGACAAAGCAGGTAACAACATTGTCTTCGTTTGTAAGGCACACTATATAAATTGCATTCTAGAAGAACTTGGATTTAATTCTATATATTCATACTTCCCTTTCTAAGGAAGAAATTCTTCAAAATCACCTGTCAGTATTGAATACTTTTAATATTCCACAGAGCCAAAATGAATCTGAACTACCTTATATATATATATGTATTGGATTCCAAAACTTCATAAGAATCCTTCAAACAAAGATACTTAGCAGGTTCCAGTAAATGTTCAACCAAGCCTCTTTCGTTACCCCTCACTAAGATATTTACAATAGTGAAGGAAACATTTCAAGAGTACTGTGCAACTATATATTCAAGAAGTGGTGTGAATTAGATGTGGATACTAAAAAATTCTTAAGAACTTTTTGACACTTTGAAATCACAAGACTTTACAAAAATTAACAGCTTAAAATCTTCCGACTTTTCAACTTTAGAAACAACAATTCCCCAAGACAAATTAAAATCCAAGCTTTTTGATATCATTGACAGCTGCGTCTTCGATAAAAATGGAACTCGTAAATTTACTTACCTCTTCATTGGTCATTTGCAAAATTATTTTGTTAAAGCAGATTCTGATTGCACACATAAGTACTCTGTAGTTGACATCAAAAAGATGCTTGAGTTTCTGATTGACATCATCTATGTGGTTTTTGGAGACCAGGCATTCCAACAGTCTATTGGAATTCCCATGGGTACAAATTTCGCTCCGTTATTAGCAAACTTATTTTTATATTCATATGAAGCAGAATTTATGCAAAATCTTATGCGTGAAAATAGGAAAACACTTGCTGTGGCCTTCAATTCGACATTAAGTTATATCAACGACAATTTGTCAATTAATAATGGTAATTTCCATTACTACGTCGATACGATATATCCTAGTGAGCTTGAGATAAAAGATACCACAGAGTCCGACACTTCTGTTTCATACTTGGATATTTTACTTGAAAAAGACACTAATGGTAATCTAACAACCAAGCAATATGATAAACGTGATGACTTTGACTTTTCTATCGTCAACTTCCTTTCCTTATGCAGCAATATACCTTCATCACCTGCATACGGAGTATATATATCTCAGTTGATTCGATACGCAAGAGCATATTCTACGTATGTACAATTTCTACAAACAAGTTATGAAAGAAGAATATCAACAGTTTCGTTTAAAGTCATCACTTCGTATGTTCTATGGTCGATACAATGACCTTGTCAGCAGATACAATTTGTCATTGAGTTAAAAGCTGACTGTCATTTTTCATACCAATTGTTAGTCTTTTATTTATACACTGAATTGACGAGGGATTTTTTCCGTCATTTCCTGATCATGACAAGGAGCACACGGCGGGTATGACCGGTCGGCAGGGGATACTCACTCCTCCATGGTACCTGATCCCACCTCTGATGTTTTGGGGGTCCGTGTTTGCTCTGCTTTAATTTTTTATTGTTTTATGGACTTTGAGATTGAATATTGTTCGTTATCTCCATATCCTTCTTTAAAAGAAGATCTTATACCGGGTATTTTTTGATACTTGCAAATTGTTGGTTTTATGAGAGATAACTTTAGAAAACCTTCTTTGAATTCTTTTTTCACATTACACTACATTTATTTAAATTCTTGATTTTTTTTAATCAAAACATCTAGGTACGTGTTTTAATCCTTTTTCGAATATAGTTTTTAGCTAAAAAAAAGTGGGGATCTTACAAGGCATGCACAGTCGTTCAATCACTATTCAAAATTTTTTGAAACAAATAAAACCAACAAAAAAAGCACACAAAGGTTTAAATTGTCTAATTTATCAAAATTAATACTAGTATTTATGCAATAAAGAAAAAAAAAAATCGTGGGCTACATATAATTCTTTACAGAAATTCTTTCTAATATTATCTGCATTTTTTTACCCCTAAAACTAAGAATTTATGTTCATTAACTGCCCCTGATTTAGTATTTAGCCATTTCTAAAAATGTTTCAGTAGTATTTTTTAGATTTACTCACCACATAAATGCAACACAAAAATAGAAGGATTCTCGGCATTTTTTTTTCTTCTTCAGTTAGGACTCTGGAGAAATGTGAATCGTGAAGGTACAATTCTCCTTTTATATTAATTGGCTTACACTTAACACATATTTCTTATCCTGACAGTCAATAAGTGCTCCTTAAAAGTGCTCACGGAATACTATTTTTGTTCTCTGTAAATATGTCCTTTCAAACTAGAATAGTGTCCTAAAGCGAACTATTTCCCAAGCAGAAGCAATATCGAAGCAAATTAAGACTTGAAAAAGAAGAGAAGACTGTTTGGAATTGCTTAAGAAATAAATAATTTGATTTGATACCTTCTCTTATACCAAATGTTTTTAAAAAATCTTCTATAATATATATAAAAAAATATCTGATAAAAGAGATTTAACTGTCGTTTTATCTAACACCGTTTTAGAAATTTCAAACGATCTTTAAGTCCACTTTATATGAAAAATAAACGTTTATCAACACGAAATTAAATGACTAATCAGAATACAACGTACAAGGAACTCTGTAAAGATTTTTCTCATATAGTTAATATCAAAGCACTGTAAAATTGTTTGTAATGGAAAATTTTCGATGCAGCGGTCCAGGAATACAGTAAACTTGTAGGACATGCTAGATGTAAACTTAAAATACCGTATAAGCAGAATGTTTAGCGAGTATTAATTCTGGCATTTTCAGGGAAGATGTTGAGATCGCTAAAAATTAATATCGCTAAAAATTAATTTATTTTTATTTTTACTCTGATTTCTAAAAGCTTCTTTAGTGAACATTTTAAAATCGCTAAAATTGCATTTCCCTTGGAAAATAAAACACCTATTTTTTAATGACAAATCGCTAAATTTGCGTCTTTTTAAAATTTCCATTTATACGGGTATGTAGGAATAAAATAGTCATTTATACATAATTAGTCGTATTTACAAAAAAAAGTTCCACACAATCTTATCTTTAATTTGGTTTAAATGCATTTTTTATCTCTGTTCAGGTTTTGCATCCCGTTAGTACACTTTATTTATATTTGCATTAAAATTTGATCAACGAAAGGTACATTAAGTATGTGAAAGTTCATAGCGAAGGTAAATAATACGTACTGTATTCCGTGAGTACTTTTAGGTGAGCACTAACTGACTCTCTGAGATTTGTGATAAGTTCAGATGGTCATCTAAAATTAGTTCCCGCGCTGTTATTCCCGATTTCCATTTCTCTAGAAAATCTAAAATAAAACAAGGTATGCTAATAATACACATGGCATATACATTCAGCGAAAGGGCCATCGATTACAGTATTCATCTAAAAACCTTTATCCTTTCTGATTTTTCCCATCCTTCTTTATTCTATGCCCACAAAATCCAAAATTTTGAAACATTGTTTTTGTTCCGCCTGTTTGACTTTATTTTTGTCTGTTAATCTAGAAAATACTTTATTCATGGTCATTACTTTTGATTAGTAAAAGCTATTTCTAACATATTTCACAGGTGTATTTCTTGTGATCAGAATTTTATTTGAGACAAACTTGACTTTGACCTTGGAGTATGAAATTTTACATAATCAAAATATGCCAAACTTTAATTTTGTCTATAATTTACGAACTGTTGCATAGCCCGTGTTAAGCAGTGGTTAGAGCGTGTGATTTAGAGTCGCAGAGTATGTTGAAAGTATATATTAATTCCACTGTGGGACGTGGAGACGGGTTTTTCGGATGAGACCGTGTCAACGGAGGTCCCTGTCGCAGTTGGTGCTGGCACAAAAAAGATCCCTCACTGCTCAAGGGCTTTGAGTGCCGAGTAAAGGACACAGTTTGCAGTTTTCCACTGGCAAGCAGTAGTCTCCATATGAGATAAATGTTTTATAGAGGGGCGTTAAACACAAACAATTTAATAAACGAACGATTCCAGCTAAAACTTTCATCCTTTACTGTTCTATTTCTTGTTTCTTGGTAGAGTTATGGTTATCAAATATCACAAGTATATTTCTTTGACATGGTCATCCTTTGGGAACCTCTTGGACTAAACGCTTACGTGACTTTAAATGAAATGAGGATTATAACAGAAACATTTTCCGTGTAATACACATTTAAAAATGTGATAAAAAAACCACGAAAATCTAATGTGAATATAAAATATTACATTTATAGTTTTTTTTTTTTATTTTTTTTTTTTATTTAGAAAAACAAAACATCATATACATGTTACACACAGTGCAATTGATTTGGTAAGTTTAACAATTACATTCTTTCTATTTGTCATGTAAAAATCATATGGAATAATTTATCACAAAATATCAAAATGAAGAAAAGTCATTAACAAATACAGCTGATTATCTTATGTATGATTGTATAGATTTTATCAAACTTCAATGAAAAAAAAGTCATAAAAAATACAGCTGATTATCATATGTATACTTGTATATATGTACCCTTATATATCTGGGAGACCTCACCTCCAGCCCAAACACAGTCTATTTATTGTCTCCCATATAAAATTTGTAGAATAACAGGCTTATTCTACAATGGGTTTAAAAATTATAGTTTCTCTTTAATACATTTCATAACATTATAATATTTCATATGGTTAATTTTCTTATATACTTCACTAAAAATATTCAATATACTCTTCATATGATAACATATTTCTTGAGGCTTTTCTTCTTTGTTTTCAAGTCTACAGTACATTTTGTATTTGTAAATTTCACATGCAATGAAGGATATTATGCTATTCAAAAATAATATCTTTTCATTTTTTTCATAATAAAATCCAATAACAATATTCTTCCATGATATATCAAATTTCAAAACTTGCTGAACAACATCCCATATATGAGACACATTTTGACATTTTAAAATAAGATGTCCATTGTTTTCTTTTACATCTTTACAAAAAGCACACATTTCATTTTCAACAATTTTCCATTTCTTCAACATTTCTCTATTACACAATAAGTTATTTAATAATCTGTAATTGAAGTCTGATATGCCTCTATCTGCAATTGCTAATATTTTTTGTTCATATATAGATTTCCAAGCAGTTTTTGGAATTTCAAACAATTTTCCATAATAATACTGATGTAAGGGAGGTTTAACTTTATCATGACACAGAATGTTATAAATCAATTTTGAAGTAATATCAAACACTGTTACTTGATGATGGTATAATAAATCATATGAATTAATTTCATATTTGATATTTTCATACTGTATATTTGTAAATTCATATTCTACAAAAGCTTTCAAAATTACATTTTTCATTATCATATAGTCACAAATCCAATTTCTCTTACATACAAGTTTATCATAAAACCATTCTATGGATTGCATACCATTTTTGTCTACAATATCACCAATATATTTAAATCCGCTTTTCAGCCAATTTGAAAAAAAATATTGGCTTGTTTTTATACTTAATTTTATTATTACACCACAGTGGTTCCTTTAATAAATTATTCAAATTCAATTCTCTTTTGTTTCTTTTACATTCATTAAAAAATACTAGCATTTCTTTGTAAAACAAGGGAAAGTTTTCCATAATTTGATAATATTTTGTATCAATAATGTTTGTTTTACATAGATATTCAAAATCAAAATTTCTCTCTTTACACAAACTATCAATAAATAGGAATAAGGAGTATGTTTTACTTAGTATGTTTTTAATCCATGATACTTTTATGGATTTTAGTTTTAAAGGTACATCAACAATACCTATTCCTCCTTCTTGAACACTTCCAATCTGAGTGTTTCGCTTTATTCTGTCTTTTTTATTCCATATAAAATTAAAAATTAGACTTTGTATTTAACTTAACTGTATTTTCATTTGGAAAATTTAAAATTGACCCAATATATATAATTTTTGATATTGCTAGACTATTAATTACACAGACTTTGCCCAGAATTGTTAATTTTCTTTTTTTTCCAAGATTCGAAAAGTTTGTCTAAGTCGTCTACAATTTTTGTCCAGTTTTTATTGTAACATATTTCCTTATCATGTCCTATGAATATCCCTAGAGCTTTTATACAGGAATTATTAACTTCAACATTTTCTATTTGTCGATACAAATTTTTCAATTGACCTGTTACGAGACATTCTGTTTTAGACCTGTTTAGTTTCAAATATTAAACCAGATACTTTACTGAATTTTTCTATAACCTCTAAAGAATGTTTAAGAGACTTCTTATCTTTTAAAGGAAGTGTGCAGTCATCTGCATGTTTTATTATCTTTATAATATCAGTCATTCCAGGTTTTTGAAAACCCTTTATGTTGGGATTTGATCTAATAGCAATGGCTAATACTTATACTACAAATAGGAATAAAATAGCAGAAATAGGACAGCCTTGTCTTATACCTCTGTGCATATCACATGTTTTAGATATCCACCCGTTATTTTTTATTCTAAATATAGGCTTATCATATAAAATGGTGATCCATTTCAAGAAATTTTCTCCAAAATTATTTTACATTTATAGTTATCATAGCATGCATTGTTATAGGGTCATCAACTCATAATCATGAATTAAATGGATAAATTTTGATCTAGAGGGGTATGGTGAGACAGCAATGGACAATCAAAGATTTGCATATAGGAATATATAGGATTTTAAGAGCAAAACCTTCTGCTCAATAACAGCGAAAGCTATGATTGAATGAATTGTCATATTTATGAAACGTACTAAGGTAGTTTAGAATCAAGTGTGTACAATTCTTAACCCCCGGGGACAGGGCGGGGCAACAAGGGACAATCAAAGTTTTATAAGGGTAAACATAGGAAGAAATATTAAAAACTCTCTCAACAACAGTAAAACTGGGTTTAATCATATTAATGTAAATAGAAGCATTTTCAGATACATTATTTGATATAGACTTCAAAATATATTTCAAATAATGATAACCACTAGTAGATGGGGCTACTACAGGTTTTAATGTTTACAAAGAAATAGAAAGATTCTTCAATTTTTCTCAAGAACAAAAGTGTTTTGATTTTACATATTAATTCAGAAACATCCTCAGATAATGTTGGATCGAATCTTGTGCCGCTAGTAGAACAAGGCAAAATAAAAGTTCAAAATATAGGAAAAACCTTGCCAAATCTATTTAAGTTAAGATTAATCACAGAAATATTGGAGCAACCTCGGGTAGTGTAGATTTAAGTTTGTTCGAAATAACACTTCCCGAGATACATTTGATATTTCAAGTTTTCAAACTGAAATTATTTCTGCTTTTATCTCCTTAAGGTTCTCAGGTTATGGTTGTCCCTATTTCAGGATTATTTTTAATACAATTTTTGTTTAATGATGTTTTTGTTCCCTTTACCCCCCGAAACATATATATGTACATGTTAAAATATGAAGCACTTGGTTAAAATTGGCACGGCAGGTTTCAAAAAAGAGAAGATAGCAATAGTCTGCAGGGAAAAAATCGAAAAAAGAACTTTTGAGCAGGGAACCTCATTCAGTTTTCAGATCAAAAACAAAGGAATTTCTAACATAATTAGAATAAACCTCAATATCTTCCAAATCAGTTTAATTTATATATCAGCACGATATATCCAAGAAATCATGAAATAAAAAGTACCACAGAACATATAATATTTTAGACCATTATCTCACTTTATACCTCTCGTAAACCTTGTTACAATTTGTTCTTTATGAATGTTTGAAAAATAAAAAAAAAGATTCTTTAAAGCTTTAATATCATCAATCATTTGTTAACAAATACAGGTAAATGAGTGGAGCCCACTAATTTGCTTAGAAAAAACTAATTAATCTGATAAATATGGGTGTAGCGCGTCGGGTTACATAAATGTCCAAGTACTGCATGCATAGCAACCAGAGCATCGTGTGTTATGGAGACCATAGTCGGATTGGAGTCGATGATATCGATGACATTTTTCTGGAAGAAAAATGTAAAACATTTAAACAAGACAAACTCCTTCAAGCGTATTAAATTATGAATCTCATTTACTTCTTCCAAGACAGAAAAAGTTAAAATTTTTCCTTTCTTTATGTGGTACCGAATTTGTAACTCACAAACTGACATAAAGTATAAAACATAGATATAGTAACGCAATCATGTGTTCATTAATGGGTAGTGGGTGAGTGGGTTTGATTCTGTACGAAATGGATGTGACGTTATTTGTATTGGGATCGATTTTTAATGCTACCTTAATTTATAGATTTGCCCTTTGCGAGGAGATGGTCCACCTTGTGGGGCCCTTGTTAAATATTGTAATATAAATATATATTCAATTTCAAGAAAGAAATGGTGGTTGTTATTTTTCGTGTGATGAAAATCGTCAATACAGTTTTCAACTTTGAAAACACCTCTTAAGGTAAATGAAAAAAAAAGATTTTAGTTTCATTTTTAAAAATGATATTTGTAAATCAATTTGTCATATCAGTGAACCTAATATCAAATTATTTTTAGTCGAGGACTAGTTCAGTTTTATGTCTTTTGTGAAACAAATTGATGAACATGGAGCAACTTGTTCGGCTCTTTTTGTATATTTGTTAAGAACCATAAAAGTAGCTTTAGTTGTCTATGAGTTCAATACTAGTATTATAACTACCCCTTTTTCTGATCAAAATAATATTGCGCTTTTAGACAATGCAAACATTAAGTTGATCAATAGCATATCGTTTTATTTTCTTTTACCTCGATTGTATGAAGTCCGTGTGACGAATGAATGTCCATCTGTTCCTGGGAACTTGTTTTATACAGGTAACAGGTATGCCCAGATCTTACTGACAAAACATGCTGTAATACAATGTTTTAAAAAGTGGATAATTACTTGTCTTCAGTAAACTAACAAAAGTTACAACTTCAGACTATCTGTATTTTTTTTAAATCTCGAACTGCATTCACTAAAAGTACATTTATTTCACAATCTTGAAGTTTATCTCCGATAAGAAATGTGTTATTTACCGTGTGGTAGTCGTAGTAGAATGAGAAAAATTCTCCCACTGAGGCCTCGTGAGTAGGGCGTGTTCCGTGGGAATGTGGATGATGGGCATGCGTGGAATGATGTGGCCTTTTGGTGGTTGTGGCAGCTAAAGCCTTGAAAGAAATATTTTCGTATTATAGGATGTATGCTACTTATAACTTTGAAAAAGGATTTTTTTTTATAAAAATGGCGAATTTGTGTTTCTGAGAAAACTCCTCTTAAACTTATTTTCAAAATACACTATATAAATGGTTTTAAATTAGTCTATATTAAATAATGTATCAACGGATCCGGGGTTCCATTTTTTTAATACATTTTTTTTTTATATATATATTTTCTTAGTAACAGAGTGGCATTATGCCTGCTGTTCAGTCCCTTTATTTAGTTTTTAGAACCAATGAAAACTAAAATGCCACCAAGTTTTTTTATTGACAAAATCGGTGTTAATAAGTTAAATGGTAATGATTTAGAATTAATATTTTACTTAAAATATTTTTTTCAAAGTGTATTTAGAATTACTCACCATATAAACGCAGCATAAAAGTAGAATGATTCTTGGCATTTTTGTTTCTTGTTCAAGTCTGTCTCAGGAGAAATGTGAATCATGAAGGTAGAGCTTTTTGTTTTATATTTATATGCACAGACTTATCGGATATTTCTTATCCTGACAGTCGATAAGTGCTCACACAAATGTGCTCACGGAATACTATTTATGATCTCTGTAAACTTGTCCTCAAAGAAGAATAATGTCCTAAAATGACCGATACCCCAGGAAGGAACAAAATCAAAGAATTATAATTTAGGGGGAAAATTGTTCAATCTACAGGAGTCGATCGACTCACTTTTGTTGTCTAAATGGTACTGTTGCATTAAAGCTTGTCATACATTTATGAAGATTCTACATATTTTGCACTTGACATTTTTTACATTAAAAACGTGAAAAATAATGTTACTTTGCAGTTTTACCAGTATTGCTTGATTTTAATAAACGACCTTTCTTTTACAATATGATTAATTAATTACATAAGTCATTGTTACTGTACTTAAATATGAAAAGATAATTCCTAGATTAAAATATTACTCTAATGAAAACTAAGCTAGCATTATAAGAAAAATTGAACATTTTTACAATAACTCAAGGAACTTTAATAGTAGGGAAATAAACCCAGGACATGAATTCAAACCAAGTTCTTTAAAATATCAGTTACAGGCATAACATTCAGATTACTACTGTGAAATAACTGATTTTCGTGGGGGGTATAATTTTCGTTGTTTTCAAGGTATGAAGAGACCCACGAATTACCTGACTCTCAGGATAAGATATTTGTGATTAATTTAGATTGACATAAAAAAAAAAAAATAGGACCAGGTTATTCACGATCCACAATTTTCTGGAAAATCTCAGAAAAAACAAAGATATGCTCAGAAAACAAATATGCTCGTAAAAATAGAATAAATGTGCTGCATTTATATTGCGAATGAATTTAATGAAGGATATGGATATACTACAGTATTCAATATCAAAGTCCATAAAACAATACAAAATAGGAGCAGTACAAACACGGACCTCTAAAACGGTTGGATCAGGGGACATGAATGAGTGAGCATCCCCAAGAGGTACAATACTTACCAGTACCTAAATTACCTTTTCCCTATTTAGATATACCGTATATCCGGTTTTTTCGCGGTGATCTATTTTTCGCATTTTTTGCGACCATTTTAAATTCGCAAAATATAAAACACGCAGAAATTATGTCAGCTATAATGTGACATAAAAACATTACAATTTTAAACAAAAAAATCTTCAATCGTAAAAAATAACTCAAGCAAAATAAAAACTGTACTAATCTACCCCATTTTCGCAAAATTTCCGACACGCGAAAAAAACCGGATATACGGTATGTCACAGTTGTATTTCATATAAAATAATCATAATCTTCTTTTAGGGACCCTAAGTTTATATCCTTATTCTTTTTAACTTGGAATTTGATCTACGTTTTAAAACCGTCTTTTTAACAACATTTGGATGTTTGGGGCTAGGGCGTTTTGGTTCACAAATATTTCCTTTATTGCAAAGGCCCTTTGTTCTTTAAGTAAATTATCATTATAATTATTTTTTATACTTTTATTTCTCTCTTGAACTAAGTCTTGGAGTTTGAGCTGCAACAGAAACTATATTCGTTGTCCTGAGTTGTAATATGTTTTTGTCTTGAGATAAAGTTGATCAGATTAAAAACAGAGATGAATGAATCGCTCACTAATAAACCTAAGAAGTCAACATGCAATTTAAAAACAATTCTATTTTGTTTACAATATTATATTTGCAGTATTTTAATCATAACCACTGGGTACATGTTTATGTCAATCAAATCTGATATTATTCCCTTTGATGTAAAAAACAATTAAAACAAATTTACCTCAGAGATGAAATAAAACATATTTTGAGTTTGGATAGATTTTTAAAAAAATAGTTTTGCCAAAAACACTGTAGATGCAAGATTTGCAATGAGATGTATGAGATCATAGTCAAATCTATATCTAAAAACAAACACAAAGTTTGCAAAGTTCACCTGATTCAAAATTAAATGAAGAAGGAAATTCTCATCAACTAAAATTGCATTTACATTTTATATTGCCCTAAAAAGTCAACGAAGAACTCACTTTTGATATTCAATTATATTCATAAAGTTATTAAAGTTAACATTTTAAAAGTCATTTTAACATTCAAATGAAAAGTACATGAGTATACTTCTTAAGTATTTCTACTCCATTCCTTTTTAATTTCTAATGCAAAACCTGGAGCCACTCATTCAAACAATTGAACGAATTTGAATCCATGTACATAACAAAGCTTCTATCCTAAAAGAATAAAAGTTAAGAATTGAATTAAAGCTATTTTTTGAACGTATTTTTAAGCATTGTTATATATCGTTTAAAGTAGGGGGCTACTAGTGGTAAACCTTCGGTTTAAATATTATGGTACATATAACATTAGCAAAAATGTAAACAACGTCTGCAGAAATGTTGGAGGGGCGTATAAAGATGATTGGGTGTATTTTTGTGCAAGGATTGAAATAAATAAAGACTAAAAAATCAGGGTAAACAAATTAATTATTCTAATAGGAAGCTTTAATTGAATTTTGAGCTATGTTACTTTATTAGTAAAATGAGATTAATTCTTCAATATTTTCTTAGTTTTAAGCAGAAATGTGTACCTTAGCCTGAAATTATTAAATATTATCCTTATCCTTGTAATTTATGTTCAAAATAACTTATTTGCCATGTGCTTTGACATAAAATGTAGACCGTCTTTTTAACAGTGATGATTTTGTTTTTTTCTACAAGAGGGTACATGAGTGTTTCACACCTCAGTAAAAATATCGAATATCTATCTACTTTTTGTGCTTTTGAAGTAGATAAAGTATCTATTAATGTAAATCAGGACAAAAATTGCACCGTTATCCAATTAATTCTAAGAGTAGGGACCTACCTTAAACTAAACTTTAGTCCACAAGTTACCAACATCTTATGTGATTGATTACGAGGGGTGATCAAAAAGTTCGTGAACTATCTACAAAACCACAATTCAGATTAGAATGAAATTCGGTACACAAATAGCCATACACAAGTTCTATAAATAGCATATGCTAAATAAAGTTTTGCTCCTTGTTTGTGATGTCACAGTATGAAAATGACGTCACTATGTAGGTCACTTGTGACGAAAAATGGTTGTCTCTGTCGAACTCTTTCAACAAACGACTGTACAATTTATTGTATATCTTAGAATCCCTCTGCAGTATCATATGATAATGTGTAAACAGTTTATTTAGATAAATGAGTTCCTATAAATTCAACTAGTGATTGGATTGATCGTTTTAGTGAAGGAAGGCAGATGGTTAAAAAGGATATTTATCATCTTGTTCAGTGAAAGCAAGATTGAATAGATATAGATATAGATAGATTTTTTAATTAAGCAATTTGCTATCAAAGACCTCCAATTTACACTTTGAAAAATAGTTGAATATTTGAACAATAACATAATTGTTAAATACCTAAGATATCGTTTATTCTAGATTTTAAACATATTAGATATGATAAAAAGGAGGCATCTATTCTCTATCCACCTTAATAAAAGTCTCTCCCGAGACAGAAGATTTGTGTTTTAATGGTCGCCATGCTTATTTTCGGAAAGGATATTCTTATCCAACCATTCTGTTGCCAAAATTTGACCATTTCTGACAAATGAACTGTTCTTGTCATAAAAATTAACTCACACGGAAAGAAATATAAAACTCAGAAAAATCTATCAACTTTTGTAACAGAACGCTACGGAGGGGATCACGTGGCAGCCAATATCACGTGATTCGTGCATGCGCAGAACGGTGGTTGATGTGCATTAAAATCGGAGAACATTGAAACCAAATATTGTTTCTTTTATGGAAGTTATTGAATTAGTTCGCGAACTTTTTGATCACACCTCGTATTTACGAGTTATTGAAATTCATATGACGGTTCTTTCGAAAGTGAAAATAAAATTTTCATAGTCTTCTTTGCGCATTTTGGGCAAGAGCTTTCATATTCTATTGCGATATCATTCAATCCTTTTGACAAGGTAGCCCTTAGTTGGTCGAGAGTAGTTGAAGCATTCCATGGCCCCAACTATCAAATTAATCCAACAGATATTCGACTGGATTTATGGAAGGCGGCAGTTTTAATGAATAAGTATATCTGTAATGAAATTAATGAAGATAACGATCGGCAAAGGATACACGGACCTCTAAAAAATCATAGGTGGGATCGGGTGCGATGGATCAGTGTGCATCCCCTGACGACTGGTCCCAACCGCCGTGTATTCCTGTCATGATCGGGAACTAACGGAAAATATTCGTCGACAATTAAGTGTGTAAATAATGGCATAACAATTAGTATAATAAATGTCAGTCAGCATTTGACTTTATTCTTGATTTTATATTTACTGACAAATTCTTAAGAAGCCACCAAATGATGACTTTTAAACGAGACTGCTGATATTCTTGTTTTATCAACTTGTTCGTCATTAACTTACTTCGTTCATAAATAAAACATGTTCTTGTCTATCGAATCAACTTAGAGATATAAACATCGTATGCAAGCGATAAAGGTATATTGCTGCAAAGGTAAGGGAAGTTGACTTAAGGAATAAGTCATTACATTAAATTTTATCATACAGACAAAACGTGCAATCGTGATGTGACTTTGTTATGCGCCGAAATCAAGGTCACAGTCAATTCAAGATACTCTGACGACTTAACAATGTTATTTGATAGAGCAAAATTTTCGTTCTCCATTGTTTGTCGTTGTTCTTGTCGTGAACCTTTTGGAAATTTGTTTTCTTCTCTGAACCACTGAGCAAATTTAAACCAAACTTTAAACAGATGAATATTGTAAAATACATTGTAAATTTAAAGGGATCCAAATAGTTTAAATGAAGGGGATATAAAAGAGGAGATAATAACAAAATACAGTGGACCTTTAGATATCCGGATGCTTCAGCATCCGGACGATTTCAGATATCCGGACGCTTCACATATCCGGACAAATTGACTAGGAACCAAAGTGTCCGGATAAAT